AGTCGCCTATTAACCATGTTGACACATGTGGGGTTAAAACCAGGATGTTTTATTGACAGCATGGGAAGTATGAGGTAATCTATGTAAATTAAGTAGAGGTAGATCAGAAGAACTTCTATGTAATGGCAAATGGGATCCTTCACATACTATCTCTCTGCCACTAGAGTCTACTTTTTAAATTTTTCTTCTATACAGTTGATGGATTTTTAGGTAATCTCTCTCTCACCCTCTCTTTACTTTTATTAGCATTTATCTTATGCAGAATTTACTCCCAGGCCTTATGTTTTCGTTTCTTCAAGGATTTTTTTTTTTTCTTCTGTGCAATCTCTTTTCTGGTTTGGGAAAAATCTGCTCTTTTTCAGCAGGATCATCTCAATATGGCAGGGAGAGCTCATGTATGGATTAATCCACTGATGAGCTCTGTAAATTCTGCATCACATCTTCAGACCATTGTTCACCTGGGTGTGCTCAATGACCAAATAATCTAAACCCTGAAGTTCAGCATTACTGTTCGCATTTTTAACCACGTGCAGCAAAAATTCAGCACTCTTTTTGGGCCACTGACCCTGCAACTCCAGCCTCACTGTTTGGCCTGGACGCATCTACCAACTCCACTACTCTAGTAACGGAATGGCACACATTGCTTCTGTAAAGTGACATCCTTCAGATAATGGTTGGCTGTTCAGATATTCATAACCTTGATGACCTGGGAAGTTTCATGAGTGTTCTTAAAGTGAACACAAAGATTTGAACCTCTTGATTTGCATGATTTTGTGGGGTTTTCTGGGTCAAGAGAATAGCAAACCATTTTCAGGTGACCTCAGGATGCTTACAGGACGAGCTATAATTCCTCCCTTAAAAATAATAATCTTTACAGGATTTCTAACAGTTAACTATAATCATTCACTCTTTCAACAAATATCTACTGAGTACCTATTACACAAAAGGCATTATGTAAAAAAAAATTTTTTGTGGTATATACAGACATATATAGAACAGAACTTTTCCCGTTAAATTTACTTATCCAAGCAGAGGTCCTGTTTAGCATCTCAGAAATTTGACCTCAATTTTCCAGAGCACATAAAAAGATTTAATACCCAGATAGGAAAGAAGAAAATTATTCTCAAAATTCATTTATTCCTCTCACTATATAGGAGTTGGTCCAGGCAGAAAGAAATTAAGTTCCTGCCCAATCCTGGTCTATTTTCCGGGAAAGAATACACTATTTTTCTTTTTGTTTTATTTTAGGTTTAATTATACTACCTCATCCTTTGAGATTAGATAGATCACAATTTGGGATAGTTATTCTAATTTAAAGTATGTAACTTATTATATTCTCTTTTAAGTTATATATTTTAAATGATTTGGTTATAACATACATTCATGCTTTTTCCCGTGTATTAAGAACACAGCAATTTCACAATACCTCCAAAATCTGGTAACTATATACAATATAAGTAAATATGATAATGGATGTATTTAATATTTACCTTTCTCTCTTTAACAACTCTTTTAAAAAATAAACATGGTGCTAGTAAAATAGACAAATCCCTTATTGTCTCTAAAAAAAACACTTGCTATAAATATAGCTATAAGCCAGTAATAATAAAATCATAAGAAATTCATCTAATAAATGTTATTTTATTGCATTTGGGTTCCTAGCAAGCATTATTAATTATTGTCATCATTATTGACAGCTGAAAAACTGCCTCCCTCCCACATTCTGATTAATTTTAATTTTCTTCAAATTAGATCTTCAATACCTAGATTTCTCTCTAAGTTTTGCTACCTCTTAAAAGATGGGTATACTTTTTTCATACCCATAACTGAGAAATTAGATTTCCGCTAGAATGACTAATATCTTCCTCAACATGAAAAGCAAGTTTATACCACAATTCAATTTTCCATTTTTAAAATAAATTAAACTACAGTTGACATACAATATTATGTTGAATGCAAGAAATGTTATTCAACATTTACATACCTTTCAAAGTGATGACTGATATAAATCTTGTAACCATCTGTCATCTGTCATCGCACTGACTTATTTTATAACTAGAAGGGTATACCTCTTATACCCTTCACCTTTTTTTCACCCACACAAGTTAATTTTCTTTTCTTTTTTTTAATTTGGCATAGAAAGTAGCTATTATAGAAACAAGAAGTAGGAGGCAAAAAAACTGTTGTGCTAAGAAGTTCAGAATAAGAAACTCACAACAATTCCATTCCAGATTTAAAAGTATACAGAAAATACATATAGAGATATGGATTTTTAAAGAAAGATATAAATTAGGGAGATATTAATTTATTCCAAAATGGTATACTAGGTAATTATTTTAAATATTTAATTCTTCATGAACTTGAAAACCAAAAATTTGATCTACAAAAAGGAAATTTTCAAAAAGTTAATAAAATATTTCTATCAACTGAAACAAAGTCACAAACCTAGGAAAAGCCCTCTGAGGTCAGTAAACAAAAAAACTTTACTTTTTAGATGAAGAAACTAAGTCCTAGAATATAACCTACTGAAGGTCACCAGCTTTGAAGATACAAAATCAGGATTTATAGTCAATTCTAACCCAACCAAAAGTTCATGTTTTCTCTATACTATGATATGAGAGAAAGAAAAATTTATTATTTTCAAATAAGAGTATGAAGCAGAGCCCTAACTGGTTTGGTTCAGTGGATAGAGCGTCGACCCCCGGATTCAAGGGTCCCAGGTTCGATTCCAGTCAAGGGCATGTACCTTGGTTGCGGGCACATCCCCAGTAGGGGGCGTGCAAGAGGCAGCTGATCGATGTTTCTCTCTCATCGATGTTTCTAACTCTCTCTGTAAAAAATCAATAAAATATATTTTTTAAAAAAAGAGTATGAGGCAGAGAGTCAAGAGACATTATGCTATTAAAAAGCATAATGATGGCTGAGAATCTCCACAAGTCCAGTGTTTTACCCACTACATAACTCAGAGTTAAGGTTTTTAGAATCATTGGATGGCATAGAAAAATTTAACTCTAGTAATAGTTTAAAAAAATGTTGGTTTTATTAGTTTTATAAACAATATGAATAATAGTTCAAAGTCATCTATATTATGTTTCTTGAATTTTTGTAAGTCTAATTCATTAATAAACATTTGTACAGAAGGAATGCTAACATATTTTATTTTCCGTTTTCCTGCTAACGACATTTCCTTACCTCACAGTCACATTTCTAGCAACTTCAACTATTTGAGTAAGAAATATACAAATGAACAAAATGAGCTTTAATAAATATCATTAAAAGGATATCAAATATACTTTCTGACTTGAGAAACACGTAACTCCAAAGGAAAAGGATAATTCAAAATATACCCTTTTATCTCATGATCCGTTTAACATCTCTTTCATTTAAAATTTTAATATTTCTCTATTGATATTTAAAACACCTTTATAAAATATATAACACAGAATACCATATAGTTTTTTTTTTACTTCCACCTTTCAATAGGTTAGTTAGTTCATAACCTATTCTTTTTTTTCTTTTTTTTAAAATATATTTTATTGATTTCTTACAGAGAGGAAGGGAGAGGGATAGAGAGTTAGAAACATCGATGAGAGAGAAACATCAATCAGCTGCCTCCTGCACATCTCCCACTGGGGATGTGTCCGCAACCCAGGTACATGCCCTTGACCGGAATCGAACCTGGGACCTTTCAGTCCGCAGGCCGACACTCTATCCACTGAGCCAAACCGGTTTCGGCCATAACCTATTCTTCAAAAATTTAGAACTGGTATGCTTCCCTATCCTAAGAGTAATTGGGTTGTAAAAACACCTTTCTAAACAAATATAAAGTTACCATTTTTTTTACACATTTTACCATTAATTACAACCCAAATTTAATTCTTTCATACATCAACTTAACAAACAGACTTTAGATTCGATGTATAACACAACCATGCACATTGAAAACTGAAAGAACATACATTGGGGAGAAGTTCCTGATGTGAGAATGAAAGCTAGCTTTTGAAGCTGTAACTAATTTCAAGAAATCTAAGTCTGTTTGTTTTTAAAACTTCAGTGGCTATTCAAAGTATAATGTTCAAATCTATCACTACAGAAAAGCCAGAGTGTTGTTAACATGTGTGAACCTTCAACATGATATTGGCTTGATATCCAGCCATCAGAACTCCACCTGCTATGCTTGGACCTGACCTCCCTCCTAAGCTTCCCAGATCGTTCAGACTAAAAATGGCCCAGTTACTGCTGGAAAAAGTGTAAGAATCCTTTTATCACTGAGATATAAAACAAGGTCATGCAATATGCTAACTTGGGAAGGAAATATATGCTGCAAAGCATGTTAAAATCTGTTATAAATATATTATAGAACTTTAATGCTGGTCATGATAACAATGACGATAATTATAAAAACTAATATTCATTAAAATTAAGTATTTAATCCTCACAACAACCATTATGGCTGAGAAGTTAAGAAACTAACCAAGATCACAGAGCTTGTAAGTGAAAGAGCTAGGGCTTGAAATATCTGACTCCAGAACCCACACTCTTTTTAATTTACTATATTTCCATTGCCTATCTTCCCTAATCCCTATTCAAATATATTACTAAACACCTACCTGCCAGTCACTTAAATTCCACAATATGTAAATTAAAGATTATTAAAGCACCAACCTAGAATCCCTCAACCCAAACAAAAAGTAAAGCATGTGCTTTATTTTAAAAAGATTTCAAAGGTCACTCATGATTTCATTCAACAAATGTTTAAATGAAAATTTGCTGTGAGAAGCACCATGCTAGATGCTGAACAGATAAAAAGTTGAAAAAGACATAGTCTTTCCCTCAAGCCCCCAAAATACATATATAATTCAGTACTGAAGAGCATTTTTACTTTTAAATCACTATTTAATTTTATAAGGCAACATTACTCCTATTACCAAAATGCTAGTGTACCTTAGTAATGTATATAGTAAAAATGTTAAAGAAGACAGACTTTGCCATTAGCTTACATTTTCGATGACAAATGTCCACTCTTTATCTTCAAATTCCTCTGCATGAGGATCCTGTAATAAAAGCAAAATTATAAAATTGATATACATTTCTTTTTTTTTAATTGATTTTAGAAAGGTAGGAAGGGAGAGAGAGAGAAAAACATCGATGTAAGAGAGAGACATCAATCAGTTGCCTCCATACATGCCCCGATTGGGAACTGAACCCATGACCTTCTGGTGCATGGAACAATGCTACAACCAAAAGAGCCACATTTCTTTAATGTAATCAATCAAGCAATAAAATGCAGGCTGCCTTGTTTTCAGCTTTACCAACGTTTTAGGCAGAACGGCTTACTCTATTTCCCTAAATTTAAAGCATTATTTTATATTGAGAAATACTCTATTTCACTTATATTGATGCATATCATCTTCCAGCATTGCATAGATGACAAGATAAAAAGAAACCCGATCACAGACAGATAGCGAGTAAACTATTAAGAAGCACTTTATTTAGATATTAGATGCTTCTATAAAGCCCTGCCTTCATTTTTATACATGTAAATATTTTAAATTAAAAGTATCACTTGAGGCAAGGCTTTCTTCTGAGCAGAGGTTATGTAAACATCTGGGATTTCAAAGCACTGCAAAGGACCTCATACTCTACATAAAATGGCAAACTGGTATGGCTATTGATATATTGAAGGATAATCAATCCTACAACCAAACACAACTTAAAAAAAAAGAAGTACATTTTTGCAAGTATTTATTTGATAAATATTTATTAGATACTTATTATATATAAGGGACTGTAGAGGTGTTATATGGATTCAAATATACTAGTAGTTGTCTTTGCTTTCTAAGACAAAAAAAAATAATCGAAATAAATATGTACTGAATGAAATACATGGTTTCACCAAATACTGGAAAACAACACATCACTTTTTACAGAAATGAACATGAAAACCTTTATGAAGAGAAAGAAGGCATGTGAGCCAGGAGGGATGGTTTAGGACTTCTACAGATATTAGAATACTAGTAAGTAAAAGCAAAAGGCAACAGAGTATAAAACATAAAAAAAAAGTAGTGGGGTCCCATCATATGTACAATTAAGTTATTCAAGGTCACTTCCATGTATTAGAGAAGGGGGAGGGATGAAAATATTGAGAGTGCGACAATATTTAAATAGAGCAGGCTTTTGGCTCAACATTCCAATCTAAGAAGGAGAACGGGCTCTGCTATTCCCCTTCTGGGTCTCAGGTCCCACATGCTGCTCCCAGGGAAGCATCTTTTTCATGTCTGATTCCACTTTAGACTATTATTAATCTTCTGTTTCTATTGCCACAGCCTATTTTGGGTCCTTACCACGGTGCCTAAATAAAAGCAACTGCAGCATTCTCAGTCTGTCTGTCCTCCAATCAATCTTGTACACATTGATTCTCCCAAAGCACAATTCTAACAATGTTAGTACCAACTCAAATTTCTTTAATGACTCCTATATACCTATGGGATAAAGTCAAAACTTGTTAGTTTTACTTCTTTATATGTGTTTACTTATTTTTTTTCCACTGCAATAGCACAGCAGCAACTGATTCTAAGCCGTATTAAGGCAACTATTTCTATCAGTAAATTCACACAAATAGGATAAAAACCTTTCAAAAAGGAGTTTCTTTGGTGGTAATGGGCAGGGAGAGGTAGAAAAGGGTAAAAGGGAAAGAAAGATAGAGAACTCTACTTGATATTTGTTTGCCCAGACTGGCCCAGCCCATGAACTAGGTTTATGGACAGAAAATACTATAATAAAGCTTGAAAAAGCTTTTCCATGGGGAATTTAAGGCACAAACAGTGCTACTTTAGAGACTAAGTAATAAAGCGAGACACAATGCTCAGGAAAGAGACATTTTACCACCCACCCTGCTTGCCCTCCCCCCTCATTTTGTTGAGGAATGAAGCCTAGCTGCAGCACAGCTAGTGCATATTTTTAATACTATTAGTTGTTCACTTGGGACCATACATCTTTTAGATCTCAATTTTGTATTCCGGCACGAGACAACATTCAACCGAGCCACACTGGCAATGGCTGAAATATTATTTTTAAACACCAATGATGTACTACCCCTAAAAGAATAATTTCAATGGGACCAAGGGACACATCTGATACAGCAAAGTGAGTAAAAACATGTAAAATAGCAACAGTAATGTTCATTTTGAAGACACTTCAAAATGGCATCTATAATAATAAAAGGGTAATATGCTAATTAGACCAGATGTCCTTCCAGACAAAGCTGGGCCGGAGGGAAGCCGGTGCCGGCACCCGGAGGAAGGAAGGCCTACACTTGCACGAATTTCGTGCATCAGGCATCTAGTATCTACATAAATAACTATGTTATTCACTAGACAAAAACATTTGTAATGAAGACTGCTTTCAGCTTCAATCAATTAAGTGTTCTTTGTGTCCTACTCTCTATCCTCTAGAGCAGCGGTCGCCAACCGGTGATTCGCGGACCACTGGTGGTCCCTGAGGTCCAAAAGGTTGGCGACTGCTGCTCCAGAGCAGTGATTTTCAACTGGTGTGCCCCAAGAACTTTTAAAACAAGCATTACCTGACTATTTAGTCAGGGGTATTGACTAACCTCTTTTCCTTAGATTGTGAAATAAAAAAATGACAACAGCCAACACAACAATAGCTACCCAGTATGAATGAATTTCATTATACCTTTTTTTTTCCAGATCTGCAAAAACATATTTTTTGGTGTGCTGCAGAATTTTAGTAATTAATTTATGTGTGCCATGAGATGAAAAGGGGTGTAAATCACTGCTCGAGTCTCCTCTCATACCACTGCAGTAGAGAGAAAAATTGAAAATGGCTTAAAGAGCCTTTTTTTCCTTCTCAAAACCCTAAAAGGCTAGTTATTCTTTTACTAGCATCAGATATTTTCAATCTAATTCAAATTTCAAAAACAAGCGTGCAGGCTGAAGAAATTAATTTCTAGTTAAATCACAGAAAAATAAAACATTGATAAGTTCTTTAAAATGCACCTCGACTATGAGCACACCTCTGTGAATATTATACTTCCAACAAAGAGGGTTTAAAGTAGTCTTTTCCTATTTACAAGTTTCAAGATTAAGGGAATTGCAAAATTTATTAAAATAAAATTTAAAAGGGGGAAAATGTGAAAAAGTTTTTCACTTGAATATTTTCAATGATGTTCAAAAACAAGATCCAAAAATTATCATGAAAAAATGAAAAAGTTTTTTTTACTTGATTTACTTTTCTCTGTTATAATTCTGGTGGGATGGGGGAGTCAGGAAGATAAAAATGTTGACTGAAATATTTTTTAAATATTTTAAATGGTCACAAGGTTGCCTTAGCACAAGTGATACAGCAAATGAGGCAGGAAGAGGTATTTGGGTGTGTGTTTTATTTTCCTACACACTATAACACTCAAAGTCATAAAAGTTCAGTGATAAGGATATGCTGAACATTCTCATCAGTACTTGAAAACAACACTTATCTCCTAATCCTCCAAGTGACATATTTCAACAGCCACTTTCAACTCAGAATCACTCAGTGTATATCCTTTCCTCAAACACATGGCTGTCCGCTATTTATCAGCTCTATTCTAACTCCTCTTCACTGTCATCCTCTTTTTTAAAAAAGTTGTATAGCTCTGTCCATTCATTTACTTTACCAATATAAACAACAGACTGAATCAAAACACTCAAAAGATTACTTAAAATTCTTCAAGAATGTCAGAGATCTTGCTGCTGTTGTAATCTATAGTCAAAGTCTTTTGATTACAGAATAGGCAGTACAACGTAGAATACAGAACAGGACTAGCCCTGGTCGGTGTTGGTGTTGTTCAGTGGCTACAGCGTCAGCCCACACATGGGAGGGTCTCGGGTTTGACTCCCAGTCAGAGGCATGTACCTGGGTTGTAGATTCCATCCCCAGTCCCCAGTCAGGGTGCATTCGGGAGGCAACCAATCGATGTATCTCTCTCACATTGATGTTTCTCTCTCTCTCTCTCTCTCTCTCTCTCTCTCTCTCTCTCTCTCTCTCTCTCTCCCCCTCTCTCCCTCCCTCCTTTTCTCCTTCCCTCCCTCCCTCTTTCCCTCCCTCCCTTACACCCTTCTCCTCTCTTTAAAAAGTCCATGGAAAAAATATCCTTGGGTGAGGATTAACAAAACAAAAAAAAAGAAGGGGCTAAATCACAGTGTAACTGAGCAAGTTACCTTCGTTTCTAATCTCAATACAATGGAAATAATCATAGAACCTTAGGGTTGCTGTGAGAATTAAATTAAATACTCCAAAGGTCTCACAATTAACTTCTAATCTTACTGTATTATTCCAGTAGAAAAAATATGGATTACAGGGGTTTCATAACAGGCTTTTAGGACAGCTGACTAAAAGGCAATGGGACAGCTCTGGTCCTCCTGGAGAACAGGAAGAGTAGCTACTGTCTCACCCCTTATTTTAGGCAAACCAAGTATAGTATATATATGACAAGCATAATCAAATAATGTTATAAAGCCAATAACAGTAATATCAAAACTATAAAATACACATAAAATATTAAGAATGTTTTGTAAAATAGAAGAAATGAAACAGAGCATTTGAAAGTAGTATTCCATTCATGGGTTAGTACATTAACATTCATCATACTGTTTTGTTCTACTGATCTCTGCAGTAGTTCCTGAATAAATGAATTAATACAATCGACAACAAAATCAAAAGTAACTTTTTTACACAGATTTCACACTCTAAGCCACATAACAATGCTCTACTTAAATTTAATGTCCTGAAATATTTAGTGGCCAGACTGGTGTGGCTCAGGATGTCACTGGTTCAATTTCTGGACAGGGCACATGCCTGGGTTGTGGGCTCGATCCCCAGTAGGGGGTGTGCAGGAGGCAGCCAATCAATGATTCTCTCTCATCATTGATGTTTCTATCTCTCCCTCTTCCTTCCTCTCTGAAATCAATAAAAATATATTTAAAAACTATATATATGTGTGTGTATATGTATGTGTGTATATATGTGTGTGTGTGTGTGTGTGTGTGTGTGTGTGTGTATATATATATATATATATATATATATATATAATTTAGTGGAGCTTCTTGTAGAGAGCACCTGGGAAGGCACATGGGCATTTCTTTAATTATTGTCAGCTGAAGCCAGTGGCATTGGCAAAGCCACGTCCTGGAAAACATGCTTTGCCAAAAGGCAGGAGTGTTATCAGCTTGACCTTCAGCCCACGTGCCAGGGGGTGGGTTTTGTTATTTAAATCCAGCCAAGCACCAGGAATGAATATGACTGGGGACCACCCAAGAATGCACATAATCTCCTTTGTCTTGACTTTTAGTAAAACTTCCTGTTTTTTGCTGTATAAATAAATAGGCTGTATTGGCTCGGGGTTACTGTCTCTGTCCCTGTCCCAGTCAGAGGACAGTGGTCCCACCCGGCCCCAGCTTTTTTCTTCCATCTCTGTGTCTGTCTCTTTCTTTCATTTTCTCAATCCCCAGCCGTCCCTACTCAGGAACCAGACCGCTCTCTAGCCGCGCTGGACGCGGAGAAGAGAGACATACTTACAGCTTCTCAAGCTTTATGTTACTAAATTATGCTTAATGAAATGTCCCTCTTCCTCCTGTCCTTCTGCGAAAGTAACTTCAAAACAATTGTAATGACTGAAAGAAGAAATAAGCCCTAGCTGGTTTGGCTCAGTGGATAGAGTGCTGGCCTACAGACTGAAGAGTACCAGATTCGATTCCAGTCAAGGGCATGTACCTCGATTGCAGGCTCCTCCCTGGCCCAGGCCCTGGTCAGGGCTCATGCAGGAGGCAACCAATCGATGTGTTTCTCTCACATCGATGTTTTTCTCTGTCTTTCCCTAGCTCTTCCACTCTCTCTAAAAATCAATAGAAAAATATCTTTGGATGAGGATTAAAAAAAAAAAAAAAGGATAAATAAAGCATTCGTTTTCTAATTTCATCATTTTCAAAGAGGCTAAAAAGGTTGTCTCTACTTTTTTTTTTTTTTGAAGTAGATAGGAGTTGGTTAGGAAAGTAAATATGTTAGTACTTAATCACCATATGTGCAAGAAATACATTATAATGTTTCCAGAAATATGGAAAACTTTCAAGAAAAAAACATGTATATAAAACAGGCTGGTAGGTATATGGACACCTGTATTTTTGGATTTACACTTTGAATTTACACTAGAATTTTGCTTTTAAGCCATATTTATAAAATATTAATATCAAGCCCAGCATGTTTAGCTCAGTGGTTGAGCATCAACCCAGGAACCAAGAGGCCGCCGGTTCGATTCCTGGTCAGGGCACATGCCCAGGTTATGGGCTCAATCCCCAGTAGGGGGTATGCAGGAGGCAGCCAATCAATGATGTTTCTCTCTAACTGATGTTTCTATCTCTCTATTCCTCTCCCTTCCTCTCTCTCTAAAAAATCAATAAAAACATTTTTTAAAAAAATAAGTAAAATATTAATATCAGTAAAATATTTACCAAATATAAATTTAAAATTTATCTTCTAATACTATCATCACTAAAATATAGGGTATCCCAAAAAAATGTATACACACACTATGAATAATTATAAAAGTAGTATTTATTAAAATATGTTTTCAAAATTGAGCTATCAGTTGTTAAAGTATTTATCAAATGCTCATTTTAAAACATATCTTGGTATTAGCCAAACATGGCTAACAAAATGAGGCTCAGAACTAAGAATTCCACAAACCACAACTTTCTTAAAGGAAAAGCACTATAAATTTTCCCATGGATAGAACATAGGAAGTAGTAAAAGAAGTATCTTAATTATAATAAATTCAAAAGGACTACCAAATTATTCTGACTTTATAGACCATGAAATACCCTGATACCCTTGCATTGTTAATAAACTGCTATATCCCTAAAAATAATGCACATTAAGGTACGAGGATGGACCCCAATGTATAGAACCATTAATAGTGAAATATTCTCTCATTTAGAACCATGATTATATAATAAATTCTTTATTTTATAAAAATGAAACTTACCTTAAAAAGTGTCACAGTGATTTCAATGTTTTCAGGAACAGGCCATACTACAACACCACGGTATGGATTTTTTATTCCAGGTTGCCAGCTATGAGCCTACCAGAATAAAATAATGGCTTCAATATGAAGTACAGGAAATGCAATGTTAATAATTTAGAAAAATATATTGACCCTACTTAACTATCCATTAGATCTATAGTTTCCCTGAAACAAAAATAACTGGTCAAATAAAGCTTTTCAAGCTTTAAACTTGGGCCATTACAGTTACATCACATGAGAGCTACCATTGACATCTATAAACAAACTTTCACCCTTTCTCCCACCTACATACAAAAGAAGATGCAAAATTGAAGGGTTTTATATTTTCAAAAGCTACTATTCATGACGACAAAATTTTATTAGGAGAAATTTTTAAAAATTACTTTTGTGATCAGGGAACTTAAAGGCAAATTTATTTGTCAAAAGGAAGAAGTGGCTGGCGTACAGCAGCAGCTCTGGCTTCTTGGCTGCAGGAGCAGCTGCTCCAATGCCCCAGAGAGGCCATAGCATCCTGTACTGGCGGGATCAGCTGCGGGCTGGCAGTTCAGAGGCAGACTGGTGCGAGGACAACTACACCATCGTGTCTGCCATCACCAAGTTCTACAACAGGATCAGCAACGTCTTGTTTTTCATTTTACTGCCCATCTTGTTTCATCAGTGTGCAATGTGTTTCAACAATGGCATTTACTTAATATGGACTCTTTTAGTTTTGGTAGGAATTGGATTTGTCTACTTTCACACAACTCTTGAGTTTCCTGGGTCAGATGCTGGATGAACTTGCAATCCTTTGGGTTCTGATGTGTGCTCTGACCATGTGGTTGCCTAGAAGGTCTACTAAAGATCTTCCGGAACGACATGGCAGGTTCAAGGCAGTGGTCTACATCCTGTCTGCAGTTACAACGTGCCTGGAATTTGTCAAGCATGCTATCAACATCTCTCTGAGGACACTGGGGGTTCCTTGCATTGTGCTGCTCATTGCAGAGCTAAAGAGGTGTGACAATGTGCATATATTTAAACTGGGCCTCTTCTCAGGCCTCTGTTGGATCCTTGCCCTCTTCTGGGCCTTCTGTGAACTGCTGCCATCCTTCCACTTTCCCTACCTGCACTGTGTATGGCACATCCTCATCTGCCTAGCCACCTACCTGGGCTACGTTTGTTTTGCCTACTTTGATACTGCCTCTGACTTCCCTGAGCAAGGCCCCATCATCAGGTTCTGGCGTAGTGAGAAATGGGCCTTCATCAGTGTCCCCTACAGTGTCCCTCCTGTGCCAAGAAATCGCCAGTCAAGACCACGTGACTGGGGAGCAGGGTGGACTTCTCTGCTTAGGTGTCTTTGTGTGGGCTTCATGCCAGCAAAGACCCAGAGGGTTCTCAGAGTTGGGGATAGGGTCTATTTTTTTTTTTTTAATTTCTGTTCCCTTGGGCTCTCACTGGTCTGTGGACTATCAGGACACCACTCTTCCCAAAGATGCAAAATAGAGGGCTGAGAACACTAGGTTATCTTCTCAGCATCACTTTTGTTGGATTGTATCCTCTGTGGCAATAATGGTGGGACTCAGTGCTGCATGAGAGTCTGCCGGCTCTAGACCCCACCATTCCCATTGATAGACAGATCCTGCGACATTCAACACCCTCCAACCGTCTGATGGAGGATGCCAGGTTTTCATTTGGGAAAACAATCTCGAACAAATAAAACCCATGGAAGGCTGTGGTTAAGGAAGCTAGTTTTCCAATCGCAGCACTCAATCATCCAGGTTTTACATGCCTTTGTGGATCCTTTCACTTCTACCTCTGCTAAAAGAAAAAGATGTGATTTCAGGTGAGGGTAAAGGTAATGAGAAAACCCCTCTCTGCCAAAAACTACTCTCCACTTTATGCCATTCTTGAAGATGACAAAGTTTTTAAATGTTGACATTGTTTGTCCCCACCCCAGTCGCCTCAGACACACAGAGGAATAGCTGGGTCTATACACAGACCCCTTCCTCACTGCCTGACCTCTGTAACATTGCCAAAGGTCTGTGACAATTGTGATGGGGGAAAGGGGAGGAAAGGGGACACCTGCTTCAAAATTGGGAACCACCACGAAGTTCTGGAAACATGTTCTCATTGGAAACCTCCTATATACTGCCTGTAAATTATCCTCAAGAATCTCTCCCCTGACCTTTCTCTGATTTTTGCTGTGGGAATTACACGCCATGCTCTCACAGTATGAGGGGCTTCTGTAGATTCTCCCAGTATTTGGTCGCTATTCTTCTAAAAAAAAAAAAAAGAATGACTTGCCTGGCTGATGTGGCTCAGTGCTGGCAGTAACAACACATTGGCTGTTTGGGCCATTACTGGTGCAGCAGGGTGAAGCTGTTGCCTTCTGAGTTTTTCTCACATAAAGTGACACTGGCTACAACTAAATCTCCTCTTCATTGGGATAAATGGAAGACTCCAAACTCCCCTGAAGGTGTGAGGTGGGAATTCACGACCTCAGAGATACTCATTTTAACTCAGGCACTTCCTGGTTTGCAACCTTCCATTGTGAGAGAGGGCAGTACAGGCTGTCCTTGTGTAGACAGGAATCATGTCACTGTCTGAAGTATCTAAGAGTTGGGCAGCAGCAGTTTTAGGCATGTCCAGGAACTCTTACTCTGGCTAGAATTTGTACAGACTCTAAGGTGAAAACCCCATTAAAAAACAGAATTTGGAATTTAAAAATGAATGACTTGCCCTAACCGGTTTGGCTCAGTGGATAGAGCGTCAGCCTGTGGACTGAAGGGTCCCAGGTTCGATTCCGGTCAAGGGCATGTACCTTGGTTGCGGGCACATCCCCAGTGGAGAGTGTGCAGGAGGCAGCTGATCGATGTTTCTCTCTCATCGATGTTTCTAACTCTCTATCCCTCTCCCTTCCTCTCTGTAAAAAATCAATAAAATATGTTTTAAAAAAAAATGAATGACTTGCCTGGCTGATGTGGCTCAGTGGCGGAGCATCAACCTATGAACCAGGTCACAGGTTCAATTCCTGGTCAGGGCACATGCCCAAGTTGCAGGCTTGAACCCAATGGGGGACATGCAGAAGGCAGACAATAAATGATTCTCTCTCATCATTGATGTTTCTCTCTTTCCCTCTCCCTACCTCTCTTAAGTCAATAAAAATATATATATTTTAAAAAATGAATAACTTTATCTGACTTCTGTGGTTTTCAAATTATTTTGGCAGCAGAACCCTGTTTGTTGTAAGAAATCTTTTTGGAACTCTAATGTGTGAAATGGGTTGTATTTTATTGGTCTAAATTTATTTTAAGGTTAAACTTATAGCATTTCCTTAATAATATATCAGGCAGTGAAAATGCAAATTAACAATTTGGTGGTTTTCAAGGTAGAAAAATCTGGTACTGAATGAGTGTACATGTTGCTATATTATAGCATAAAAACATATTTTTAAATGAAAAAGAAAGGAAAAAGTAATTGCCTGCTTTGCATTTAAGTTCATTTTCCATTAGACTGTCGATGTTTATTTGGAACAAGTAAAAAAAATAAAGAATGCAGTTTTTGCAGTTAATATTTCTAGTGTGTGTAATTTTAAAGATTTTTTTCCTTGTAAATCTTGGTTATCAAGGTTCCCTAAGGAACCCCCACAAATTTGGGAGTTACCACTATAGTTCTTCCTTTGTGGTGGCATTTCCAGCCAAAGCTGATGGAACATTAGGTATGCCAAGACATCTCAACTAAGTCTTCATCTTTATGGCCTGTAGGACTATCCATGGAAATGCCATGAATGTGATAATAAAAGCTGACAGTTTATAAAGAACTTTCTATATGTCAATCCATGTTTGGAATTTACTTATGTTTAACTCATTTAATCTGCCTAAGAAGCCTATGATGTATAACTACCATTCATTCATTCACTCCACTCACTCACTCACTCACTCGATGATACTGTCTGCCAAGCACTGCCTAGGCACTCGGAGTGGGAAAAAACAAAACAGTCTGCCTTAGTAGAGTTTACAGTATAATAGGAAGAGACATACAAAATAATTAAGTAAAATATATAGTATGTTAGGTGGAGATAATTGCTATGGAGAAAAATAGAAGTATGGAAGAAGGGTAGAGGGGGGCAAAAGAAAGTAACAATTTTCAATGGGTAGTCAGAGAAAGTGTCATTGAGAAGGTAACAGTTAAGAGAAGGCCTTAAGAAGGTGAAAGAATCAGATATATAAATACATGAGAAGAACTTTCCAAGGAGATGGTATAGCAACTGGAAAGGTGCTGAGGCAGTTAGATCACAAGGAGGTCAATGTGGCTGGAGCAGAGTCATCAAAAAGAAGAGGAGTAGGAGACAAGGCCAGAGAAATAATGAGGGTCCAATCATATAAGGATCTGGGAGGCCATTGCAAAGAGTTTGGCTTGTAATTTGAGGGAGACAGGAAGCTACTAGAGGGTTTTAAGCAGAAAAACGATAACCTAAATAATGTTTTAACAGATTCATTCCAGCTAATGTATCAAGAATAGGCTCCAGACATAAGAAAGGAAAACAAGGAGAAGAAGTAAGAAGCTACTGCAATAAACCAGGAGAAAGCTGATAGTGACTTGGCTTGGAATGGTAGAAAGATGGTATAAAATGACTAGCTAGATTCTGAAAATATTTTTATATTTTCAAAACAGAATCCATAAGATCTGCTGTCTGATTAGATGAGAGGAAGAAAGTAGACATGGCAATTCTAAGGCCTTTGCCCTTGTTGAGCAGGTAGAAGAAAGGAACAGCTATTAACAACCAAGCAAGATTGCAGGAGGGGCAGGTTTGGAAAGACAGAGAACTCAGTTTTACACACATTAAATCTGAGGTGCCTAGGAGACATTCAAGTACAGATGTTCAAATAGACTGCTAAATATACTAGTATATCTCTGGGATTATATATTGGGGAATCATTAGCATACAGGTGATACCTAAAGCTTAAGAGTGGATGTGATACCAAGGGAGTATAGATAAAGAATATAAAGACACAGCCCTAGCCAGTTTGGCTCAGTAGATAGAGCATTGGCCTGCAGACTGAAGGGTCCCAGGTTCGATT